CAGGGGAGCGAGGAGGGGAAGCAGCAGAAGTGGGGAGGGAGGGTGTTGATCTGGGTTCTGACTGTCGCCTTTATTGGGCACCTACTGTGTGCCAGGCGATGGGCTCTGTCCCAGTTTTACCTGGATAGTCTCATCCAGTTCTCACCCTCACAGAAAGCTCTGTGCCACAGAAGGAAACTGAGACTCAGAGGTGTTATGTAACTTGCCCAAGGTCACACAGCTCATCAGCAGTGAAGCCAAGATCCTAGCCCAGGTCTGTCAGCCTCCAGTGGGCTCTCCCTGCTGCCAGAAAGTCCTCCTCCTGGAAAAGCAGGTCTGGGGTTGGGGTTTTCAGTCAGAGCTCATCAGGATCCCCAGAGGCAAATCTATTGTCATCTGCCCTCCTCCGTCTCACCCATCTGCCAGGCAAGTCGCAGGTGAGCCCCCTGCCACGGCCCCTGCCCCAGCCCCAGGTGCTAGCTCAGCTTTGACTGGCTCCCTTCCTCTCCCTGGTGCCCCCAAGGTGGCTCTGAGGTCACCCCACACCCCAGTGCCTTCCATTCTGCGCTTCCAGATCTCAGGATGCATAGGAAAAAGGAGGCAGAGAGAGGAGGTCACGTGAAGGTTGGAAGCTGGGGCTCTGGTTTTGGGCACAAGATTGGGGGCCTGCTTATCTCCTTTGATTCAAATGAACCCTTTCCCTAACTCCCACCCCTCACCCCCCAGAGACAGCCAGAGCTTTGCTTAGTTAATGAAATACAAAAGAAGGAGTCAGGGGGTGGGAGCGGCTGGAGAACACTGGAAAGCAAGGGAGAGAGGAGAAGTTGGGCCTCTTCCAAAGAGTTAATGTTCCACAGTATGATCGATTAGGTGTCAGATGTAATTTCAAACCAATACAAGATGAATGGCATAATTTTCCCTCTCTCATTTTAGACAGAATTAAGAATCCATTAGCTAACACAAATTTTTGGCAAGTTTAATAGGAGCTCAAATCTACATTCGGAGGAAAAGCTCCCCAAAGCCTGTTTCAAGCTTTTATTCCTCAGGCTTCTGGCCTCCCACGTCCTCCCAGCCCTCACAGACCCTCTGCTGTCTGTCCCCACTAGCCGTCCTCTCTCCTCCCTTCCCCTGGTCCCCCTATGCGCCCCTCCCCAGCCCAGCCCAAGATGGACTGGCCTGACCTCTCTCACAAAGGCTGGGCCTGCCCACCATTGTCTTCCAGTGGCAATGGGTGGCGGGTGAAGGGGCGGAGGGGCTGGCAGTGGGCCCAGGAAAGGGGGGAGGTTGTTGAATTGGCCCCAGGCTCCAGACAGACCCTAAGGAGAGGGGTGAATTGGGGCTTTGGGGCCTTTTGGGTCTCAGCTACTCCTCAGTTTCACCCCGAAAAGTTCTTGTTTTTATCCTAGACAAAGCATTACCCAGTTCATAAGGGGGACTCCAACCTCATTCTTCCTCAAGATCTCTTACATAAGTTAATCCACACTGTAAACCTGAGACATGGGAAGAATAGCTATCATCCCATTTTATAGATGAGGAAATTGAGGCTCAGGAGTGGGAGGAGGAGGGGTTGATTGGAGTCATCTGGGTACAAGAGTAGCCCTTGGCTCTGCTACTTGCTCGCTTACTCGGACCCCAAGGCATTTACTTCTGGGCCTCAATTTCCTCATCTGTAAAATGGAAAGAACATTAGTACCCAGCTCATAGAATTACCCTAAGGGACAGACGAGAAAGCTCTTGATAAAGGAGAGCCTTCGTGACTGTCCATCCAGGTGGAGGTGCCAAGTGTCTACTCTGCAGCAGCCTATGATTCAGCTCCTGCCTTTAACCTCTGAGCTCACAGCCTAGTGAGGAAGACACACATGTAGACCAAACCTTGCCCTGGAAGGCAAGAGAGGCTAGAATAATAATTACGGCAGCTTACCCTTACTTACCCTGTGCCAAGTGGGAGCAAATTCTTTACACGTAGTAACTCATTTACTCCTCACACCCTTATCACATAGATACTATTATCATTACCCCCCTTTCCAGATCAGGAAACTGAGGCACAGACAGGTGAAGTAACTTGCCTGAGGTCACCCAGCTAGGAAGTGGCAGAACTAGAATTCAAACCCAGGCTGCCTGGTCCTGAAGTATGTGGCTCTTAACCCGTTGCTGAGCAGGGGCCAGGTCAGGGCTGGTGAAGGACCAGAACGCGACTGAGCCTGCTCAGGGGTCTGGGAAATCTTTGAAGAGGACAGTAGGCTTGAATGAGGTCTTAACTAATGAGTAGGAATTTACCAGGAGGACAAGGAAAGAGCATTCAAGGCAGCAAGAACAACATGTGCAAAGGCGCTGAAAGAAGTCTCAGCATGGGGGATGGTGAGTAACACACTGTGCCAACCACAACGTGGGGTTCATGTGGAGGATGGGGAGAAACAAGGTTGGACAGGCAGGCCAGCTGCTTCATCATGAAAATCCTGCTCTAAAAACTGGGAAGTCTGGGGCTTCCCTGGTGGCGCAGTGGTTGAGAGTCCGCCTGCCGATGCAGGGGACGCGGGTTCGTGCCCCGGTCCGGAGCCTGTGTTCCGCAACGGGAGAGGCCACAACAGTGAGAGGCCCGCGTACCGCAAAAAAACCCCAAAAAACTGGGAAGTCTTTCCTATTGTCTAACTGGTATAGACAGACTTGCATACCATTCTCAGGAGTTACAACTCTTGCATATTGTTATAATAGGTAGAGCTAGCATCTTCCACGTGTCAGACACTTTATATTGATTGCCTTGTGTCTTCATTCAGTAACCACACTAAGCAGGTACTGTTATTTTATGTTTAAGATGAGTAAACTGAGGCTCAGGGGTATTAAGTAACTTGTCCAAGAGACACAGCTAGAAAGCAACGGAACTGAGCATCAAACCTAGGTCTGACCCCAGAGGCCACACTCTTAATCCACTATGCTTCCTGTGTCCTGGTAGGCAGTGGGGAACTTGGGAGGAATTTTCAGAAGGGAGTGCTGTGTTTGTATTGAGTTTTAGAAGAGGAATTCTGGCAGGGTGTAGAGGTTGGATTGGGACAGAGTGAGACTAGAGGCAGGGAATCCAGTGAGGAAACCGTCGCACTGGTCTAAATGGAGAACAAGGTGGGGAAAAGCCCCTCCATCATCCATGGGGATGAAAGAGAGGGCCTCCTGGAGCCTAAGTAATAGTAATCATAATAATTAAGTGTCTACCCTGTGCCAGGAACTTCCCATGAGCCATTTCCAACTCGTATAATGCTGTAGGGCAAATACTGTTAGTCCCATTTTACAGATGAGAAAGCTGAGGCTCAGAGAGGTTGACCAGCTTCTCTGGACAACACAGCTATGATCCGGAAGAGCTGGGACTGACCTGAAGCCCTAGCCTTTCCTCCCATCTCACTGCCAGAAGGTGGTTGGGCCACACATCAGAAGTCAGCTCTTCCCTCTTGATGTGGCTTAATATTCCCTGGGATACCTAGGGAGTTGGCCCCCCTCCCCTTTGGCCCCAGCAAGTGGCCTTGAGCTGAGGGATGTGGGAAAAGGGGTGCGGAGGAGTGGAAAAGAGAAGTTGGAGAAGGACGAGCTCTGGAGCTCTGAGGGGAGAGCCGGCACTCATTTTTACCTGTGATTGACCATTCAGGAAGATGTACAAGAAAGTGTACAGGAAAGTGAGTGCATTTAATTCTCTTAACCCTTAAGTTGGGAAGACTTTTGGGAAGTTCTTCCTGCTATCTAACTCTCATCTCTCCTAATGGAGTCATGGATAACCCCAGTTGCCAGTTTCAAGGAAGAGCCCCTGCCCCTCCACCCAGCCATGAGGACATACCTCATCACCTTCCTCATGGGGTGGGACTCAGGGGATGGGGGAGGATTCTACCTACTTACCCTCATGTCACTGCATCCCCAGAGGTGTCCCTCTGAAAGGAGGAAATGACCAGGCCACCTGGCCCAGCCCCTCCTCAGCAGAGAGGGGAAGGAATAGCAGTGTCTGAGGTGGGAAGAGAACCAAGGAGGAGGGGGAGACCTCCTGGGGCCATAGCCTGAAAAACAGACCCAGGGCTCCTGCCTTGAAGGCAGGAGGATCTCTGAGTTTTGGTAAAATTTAGTAAAATTCATGAGCATCATAGCCAAGGTCATATAAAAGAAGCCATATCTCTACCTGGGCTAGAAATTGCAGGAGCAGGGAACTCCTGGGTCAGGCCAGGGTCACCAAGGAAGAGAACTTGGGGAGGGAGCTGGGGAGACTACTTAAGAGAAAATGGCTTCAAGGGAAAGAACTCAGGCTTTGGAAGCAAAGGGGCTCAGGTTAGAATCCAACCCTCCTGCTGCAAAGGCAGAAGTACCTTGAGCATGTGTGTTCATTTATTCAACAGAATTTCATTGATATCCTACCATGTGCCAGGCACTGTTTGAGGCTCTGGGATGTTTCAGACAAAGATTCTTGCCTTCAGAGAGCTTATATTTTGGCTGAGGAGACAGGCATAGTACATCAGTAAATTATATTAGAAGGCAGTAAATGCTGTGGTGCGGGGGAAGTCATGAAGAGGTGATCTAGATTGGAGGGTGGTCCCATTTTTAGCCACTCTTCTTCATTTGTAAAATGGGGGCAATCATACTTACTCCTCAAGATAATTGTAAAGATTAAATAAAATAACATGTTTAAACCTGCATTGCCCAACCGGAAGCCACTAGCCACATGTGACTATTTTAATTTAAATTGATTTAAATTAAATTAAAATTTTTAAATGATGTTTTTAATATAAATTTATTTATTTTCAGCTGTGTTGGGTCTTCGTTGCTGCATGCGGGCTTTCTCTAGTTGCGGCGAGTGGGGCCACTCTGTTGCAGTGCACGGGCTTCTCATTGCTGTGGCTTCTCTTGTTGTGGAGCACAGACTCTAGGCGCACAGGCTTCAGTAGTCATGGCTTGCGGGCTCTAGAGTGCAGGCTCAGTAGTTGTGGCGCACGGGCTTAGTTGCTCCGCAGCATGTGGGATCTTCCCGGACCCGGGCTCGAACCCGTGTCCCCTCCATTGGCAGGCAGATTCTTCACCACTGCACCATCAGGGAAGTACAAAAATTAAATAAAATTTAAAATTCATTTCCTTGGTCATATTTAGCCACATTTAAAGCACTTGATAACCTCATATTGGCTAGTGACTACTGTATTGAACAGAACAGAAATAGAGCATTTCCTAACAAATGCTGGAGAGGGTGTGGAGAAAAGGAAACCCTCCTACACTGTTGGTGGGAATGTAAATTGATGCAGCCACTATGGAAAACAGTATGGAGGTTCCTTAAAAAACTAAAAATAGAGTTACCATGTGATCCAGCAATCTCACTCCTGGGCATATATCCAGACAAAACTATAATTTGAAAAGACACATGCACCCCTATGTTCATAGCAGCACTATTCACAATAGCCAAAACATGGAAACAACCTAAATGTCCATCAACAGATGAATGGATAAAGAAGACGTGGTACATATATACAATGGAATATTACTCAGCCATAAAAAAGAACAACTCTGCAACGGGAGAGGCCACAACAGTGAGAGGCCCGCATACCGCAAAAAAAAAAAGAACAAAACAATGCCATTTGCAGCAACATGGATGCAACTAGAGATTATCATGCTAAGTGAAGTAAGTCAGAAAGAGAAAGACAAATATCATATGATATCGTTCATACGTGGAATCTAAAATATGGCACAAATGAACCTACCTACAAAACAGAAACAGACTCACAGACATAGAGAACAGACTTGTGGTTGTCAAGGTGGGGGGGTGGGGAGGGAGAGGGATGGACTGGGAGTTTGGGGTTAGTAGACGCAAACTATTCCATTTAGAATGGATAAACGACAATGTCCTACTGTATAGCACAAGGAAACTGTATTCAATAACCTGGGATAAACCGTAATGGTAAAGAATATGAAAAAGAATATATATAACGGAATCACTTTGCTGCACAGAAGAAATTAACACAACATTGTAAATCAAATATACTTGAATAAAATAAATTTTAAGAAAAAGAAATAAAGCATTTCCATAATTGTAGAAAGTTCTATCTGACAGCGCTGGTGCAAAGCACTCAACTCAGGGCCTGGCCAAAGTTGTATGTACAGTAATGTGAACGCTTACTGGAGGGCTCATCACTCTTGAAGGACTCAAGCAGTGAAACCGACAATTCTTCGATAGCCTGCCGAAGACCGCCCACTTGATGTTCTCCAGGGTTGAGTCTGAAAACAGAGTGGGGAAGAGCCAGGGATTGGTCAGGGCAGAAGGAGAGTAGGAGGAGGGTCAAGTCTACAGGTTAGGGAGTTTGTGTTAAGGATTGCCCAGAGGGTGGAGGTGAGGGGAATATGTGCCTGAAGCAGGAAAGAAAAGAAGAGCAAGAGGGAAGAGTGAGGAGAAAGAGAAATCCAGGCAGCCGAGAGCTGGCCCCAGGATGGGTCTTCATTGCCAGCCCCTAGAGAATGGATGCCACTTTTGAGATCCTTGATCTCAATACCTTTATTATTGAGTTCATTCATTCATGCAACATTTGTTTATTGAGCACCTACTATGTACCTGTTCCTGTCCTAGGTGCTGGGAGTGCTACTATAAATAACCCCCCCCCCCTCAGGAACCTTGTTATGTATGATGTGGGGATGGGGAAACTAGACAGTGAGCATAATAAATGTGTAACATACATAGTATTTTAGGTGGTGATACGTACTAACAAAAAAAAAAAAAGCAAAGAAGGGGGAAAGGGAAACAAGGTACAGTTTTGGATGGGGTAGTCTGGAAAAGCTTCTTAGAGAAGGTGATGTTTAATCTTGTTTGCCTAGCGGGGAAATGGGGAGTGAGTGCTAAGGGGTATGGGTTTCTTTGGAGGGTGGTGAAAATGTTCAAAATTGACTGTGATGTTGGTCACACAGCTCCATTAATATACTAAAAACCCATTGACTTGTACACCTAAATAGGTGAATTATATCTTAATAAAGCTGTTATTTTTGTTGGTTTGTTTGTTTTGGCCATGCGGCTGGCAGGATCTTAGTTCCCCCACCAGGGATGGAACTGGTGCCCCCTGCAGTGGAAGTGCAGAGTCCTAACCACTGGACCACCAGTGAATTCCCTAAAGCTGTTATTTTTAAAAAAGTTACTCTTTGAAACTAATGTAATATTGTATGCAACCATATTTCAAATAAATATATAAATAAATAGGGGCTTTCCTGGTGGCGCAGTCATTAAGAGTCCGCCTGCCAATGCAGGGGACACGGGTTCGAGCCCTGGTCCTGGAAGATCCCACACGCTGCAGAGCAACTAAGCCCGTGCGCCACAACTACTGAAGCCTGCATGCCTAGAGCCCGTGCTCTGCGATAAGAGAAGCCACTGCAATGAGAAGCCTGCATGCCACAACCAAGAGTAGCCCCTGCTCTCCGCAACTAGAGAAAGCCCGTGCGCAGCAACAGAGACCCAATGCAGCCAAAAAATAAATAAATAAATAAATAAATAATCACTCTGGCTGCTACACCAAAAAGAGACTGAAGTAGACCAAGGACAGAAGCTGTGGGCATCCAGGAGCTAGAATATGGCATCTTGCACCAGGGTGGTAGCAGTGGGGAGATGAGAAGTGCTCTGATTCTGGATTTATTTTGAAGGCCGAGCAGACAGATTTGCTTTTGAATCAGGTGTGGGTGTGAAAGAGCATTATCAAGAATGACTCCGGAGTTTTGGGCTTAGGGAACCAGAACAGTTGAGGAACTAGAGTCCTGGAAAGGGAGAGGGGCTAGCCTGAGGGCACCAGTCACCAAGGGCAGCACCAGGACTCTGAAAGGGGCAATATTATGAGTTAGGTTCTAAGAGCCTGGCCTTTCGCTTTGGACTGTAGCCCTACGTATTGCAGAGCCCCTCGCAGCATTAGTTTCCTCAGCCTGTTTTCAGCGAGCTGCAAAGACTGATTGGGACAGACCTGACTCATCTGAGGTGCTGGGAGAGCTTTTATTCATTCTCTTTCCCCTTACTCCCCGACTTTCCACCTGAGACAGCTCTGAGCCAGAGCCCAGGAGAGAATGAGGAGGGGGGATCTTGCAGACCTCAGGTCCCAGAGGGAGTGCTGGACTGGGGTCTGAGCACTGCTCTCAGCTGTCTGAGTCCTGCAGCGGGGAGAGAAGAGGGAAAAGATACTCGACCCCCTGAACCTGAACTGTGGGCGACGTGTGTCCTGTGCTTCCACCTTCTCTGGGGCAGGAAGGCTGATGCTGACACGTTTGGGATTGGCAGAGGATGATCTCTGAGCCAGTTCTTCCCAAGCCAGTGGGAGATTCTAGGAAGTCTTTAATTACAGCCTCAGAGTGGATGCTAGGTTAATGTGATGATTGGAAAGGTGTATTTTTCAATTACATTTAACGAAAAGATTTATAGTCAAGTAAAATATAATTAGGAGGCTGCCAGTAGACAGGCCCCCTGAGAGGAAGAAAGAGAGATGAGACAGACCACTAATGGGGCAGGCTGGAGCCCAGGCTACAGGACCTGCTTACCCTTCCCCCACTCCTCTTCGAATATATCAAAGTACTTATCAATTCAACCATACAAACACATTGGCTAAGTACCTATTGCATGCTGCGCCCAGAGTTTACCGTGGGAACAGAACAAATACTACAGTCCCTCCCCTCAGAGAGCTTACAGACCAGCAGGAGAGACAGACAGACACCAAGTCAAGAGTTAATAAAGGACTTCTCTGGTGGCACGGTGGTTAAGAATCCGCCTGCCAATGCAGGGGACATGGGTTCTATCCCTGATCCGGGAAGATCGCACATGCCACGGAGCAACTAAGCCCACGAACCACAACTACTGAGCCCGCATGCCACAACTACTGAAGCCTGCAAGCCTAGAGCCCGTGCTCCACAACAAGAGATGCCACCGTGACGAGAAGCACACACACTGCAACGAAGAGTAGCCCCTGCTCGCCCCAACTAGAGGAAGGCGGGGCGCAGCAACGAAGACCCAACGCAGCCAAAAAGAAATAAATAAAATAAATTTACAAAAATAAAATAAAGAGTTAAGTAAAGTGCTGCAAAGGAAATAACAGAATGCTGAACTAGAGAATAACCAGGGCACCATTTTGGATAAAGACATCAGGAAAGGTTTCTCATGGGGGTGAGGGGACAACTGAGACTTGAAGGGTGAAAAGGAGCTGGTCACAAAAAGAGTGAGAGGGAGGCGAGGGGATTGATTTGGGCCAAGAAAGCAGCTCAGTCCCTAGGGTGGGAAGGTGATCTTTCCAATGTTTGCAGAGTGGAAAGGCCAGTGAAGCTGGAGTATGAAGAGGGAGAGACAGAAAATGACACTGGGGAGGGAAGCAGGGACCAGATCCAGCAGGTAAGGAGTTTGGATTTTATTCTACGTGCTAAGGAAGCCACTGCAGAATTTTAAGACAGGGAGCGAAAGGCCCAGCTTATATTTTTAAAAGATTACCCTAGGGCTTCCCTGGTGGCACAGTGGTTGGGAGTCCGCCTGCTGATGCAGGGGACGCGGGTTCGTGTCCCGGTCTGGGAAGATCCCACGTGCCGCGGAGCGGCTGGGCCCGTG